TCTCAAAAGACTTAACAGTACTCTTTCTATATAATTAGAAAACACTACTGGGGACCAGCAGTTAGCATAATGGCTATGTCACTGCACTCCCATGTAGTCGACCATGGTTTGAGTCCTGGACCCAGTGGCTTAAACTCACGCTGGGAGCACGTGTGTGGGTGCCCAAGATTCCCAGAGGAGAATAGAGAAGGAATCCTGGCGTGGCCACCCCCTCCCCCCACCCGGGTGATTTCCCGCTGTCTGTCTCTTTCTGGCGATGGCACGCGCCCTATAGCAAAAAAACTCTCAAAAATATATATATACATATTGTTCAGTTTTCAGGGCAATTCTCGTACTGTTTAAACCCTTTTATAAAATAGTGAGATTCATCTTCCTCCATTTCTGAAACCACTTCATCTTAGTTAATTTTGGATAGAAACTACAGTACTGAGTGTTCTGAAGTTCTCAACCATTCTGACTGGATGACTATAACAGAAATTCCCCAAACAGGAAAAGATTATATTAATATATTACTAAACAACACCCCTCCCCTTTTCTTTTACTAGATTTTGACATGAAGAAAGGCAACCAGATGATAAAATTTTGTCTTTCCACTTCCCACAATTTGAATTTCTCTTGAGTTACTCGTTATGAATGACTCCACTGGAACCAAACAGCTTCACTCACAATTCTTCCCAATAAAGCTACCAGGTCTACAGAAAAACAGCAAATTTCAACTCACTAAACAATAACGAGAGTGAGAGAAACCCTGAATTTTGTTTTCCCACAACCTGAACAAAAAATCGGTATATGAGCAATACACCTAGGCACTGGGAGCCCATAAATCTTCCAAAGAAATCTTACTTAACTTTTACTTCTTTCTATCCATTTATCAAGTCTTAGGAAATGCTAACAACACTCCCAGGCTCAATTCTCCTCAATGATCTTCTTCCATTATACTAACGCATTCAGTCCCCCAGATGCGAAACTGTTTTGTGGAACAAAAACACTTAGCAGCACACATGCGCTATACGAGTACTGCCAGTGTCACTAACACCCAGCGACAAACCACTCCACGCCTCACCCCCAGGGAAGGGAAGCAGTAACTAGCGGAAGGTCAGGACACCAGGTTTATAATTAACGTGTGTCAGCCCAAGCACCCAGATTAGCCACTGCCGGTCCTCGACCGGGGACCCGCGCAGCCTAGGGGATGAATGAGAGCGGCCGGGAGCCTCCGGGAGAAAGGCGGGGTCGCGCCGCTGGGTGCCCCCGTCCGGCCCGGGCTCCGCC